ATAAGAGCAGGAACTCTTTTCCCAGAGATACTGGGGCCAAGCTTGAGTGTACCCCAGGCTGTAGCACCACAGGTGCTGGCTGACACAGGGCTGCAGGCATGATTTGACACAATGGGAATGGGAAGAAGCCTGGTACTGTGACCTCCCTTACTTCAGCTGGCCATGGCAGGTAGGATATCCACAGAAGTTAAACATGAGGGCCTGTTTCACCCTTCATTCACAGTTGCTGCACATCTAGGGGGATGCTCTCTTCCCTGCTTTTTGGTTTTCCACCCAGGAGTAAGAGCATCAGCATGTTTCAAACAGACCACAGGTGATGCATGGAGAAATAAGCAACTTCAGGAATTATCTAAAAGGAACCAAAACAGTGTAAGATGCCTACGGACAGATGAGGAAGTAAAAGAAAAGCTTTCTGCTCCTGTTATCTTTTGCCACTTCCTATTAATAATTTCCCATGGACATCATTCTCTTCTTTCCTGCTCAGTATCTGATATCACTTCTTCCTTACTGACAAGTAGATACTCACCTAAGATTCCCCAGGATGGATTCCAACTAACAATCTGGAGAAAATGGTTTCCAGGCCTGTTAAAAATGCCCTAAGCTGCTTCAACCTTTCTCACTTTAGTTTGTCTGCATCACAAGGCAACACTTCTATTTCCAAATAAGGAAATCATTAAAGGCAGTAAACAAATAAATCATGATAAAAGAAAATCGAGAAATCACAGTCTTTGTTCCATTTACATTTTCAAGAGAAACTTGAGTTCACATGGATAAAAGTAATATATTGAGAGAAGTTGCATCTGAAGCAGGGCACGAGCAATGAAAAGAACTTGTATTGTCATGCTGCTTTTCATCCCTTGTCAGCACAGTGTCTCATAAGAAGAGAAAAAAATGTGCAGCCTCACCTTGAGTCCTGTGTGTGGTTTTGAGTGCTACCAGGTAAGTAGGATGTAAAGCTATCAGAGAGTGTCCATAGGGCAATGAACAGAGTAGAGTGAAGGATCTAGAGGGGAAGCCACACTAAGCTTGTTCAGCCTGGACGTGACTGAGGGGAGATTTCACTGCAGGTACAAATCCCTCGTGTAGGGAAGAGGAGGGGCAGGCACTGATCTCTGCTCTGTGGTGACAGTGACAGGACCCGAGGGAACGGCCTGAAGCTGGGTCAGGACAGGTTTAGGGTGGATATTACAAAAAGGTTATTTACCCAGAGGGTTCCAATTGGGCACCAGAACAGCTCCCCAGGGCAGTGGTCACAGCACCAGCCTGAGAGAGCTCAGAAAGCTTTAGGACAATGCTCTCAAACATATGGTGTGACTATTGGGGTTGTCCTGTGCAGGTCCAGGAGCTGGAATTTGGTGATCCAAGTGGGTCCCTTCCGACTCAGAATATTCAGTGATTCTGTGATCCCAGAGACCCTCTTTCCAACTGTCTCAAATATAGGTGAATGTGAAGTATTTGTACATCTTCCTTGCACATCGAAACACTTCCTTGTGCATTTAAAAATATTCCTGCAAGACAATCACTGCATGCATCTAAAGGTTTGGATTGCAATTTCAGAGTTGTATATCAGCATTTTGGAAGCACACAGCCAAATCACAGGCACAGCACAGCATAGAGCAGCCTATAAGAGTTGCTGGAGGAGAGCAGATAGAGATGGATGAGAGAATACTTCTTACTGCATACAAGAATGGAGTTCCCAAGGGAGCTGCCATAAATATTTTCACTGTAAGACTCTGACCCTTGTATTTTTACACCCTTCAGGGTGAGTATCCCCACAAAACGCATTGAAAAAAATGGCATTTTCACAAAAAAAAAAAAAAAGAAAAAACAAAACTCTAAGGAATTCAAATTTAGAGTGTGACATTTCAAAAGCATATTTCATATCAGGCCAGCTCTACTTTCATTAGGGAAAAGGACCCCAGTTTGCAGGGAAAAGCTCACAAGCCAAGCCGGTGTGTGTGGTAGAGAAAAAGAAAAGAGGCCTATTTCCAAGTTCAAAACACCATACAAAAGCAAGGTCATGTTTCCAGCAGTTTTGTTGGGGTTAGGTTACATCCAGTTCCAACAATGCTATACATATCAGACTTTAAAATAATACCTCACTTGATCTTACTCAATAGAAAAGACAAACCACATAAAACAGGTGCTAGAGAGCAATGCAGCCTCCCCACAGTTATCTGGTTTACAAACAGTAAACTCTTTAGCCCTATTATTGTTCTCTCATTTGCCACATTCTAGCTCCAAAAGGCACTCTAGTTCTCTAAATTGTTAGCAGCTTTTATAGCCAAAGATAAGTATCCATCACTTTTAATTTTCATCGTTGCATCTGTTTTGTCATTTAGCTGCAGCAGGTTGTATTACAATGATTAATGAGGAAATGGATACAAACATTTTTATTTCAAATAGCAGCTCTCGGACAAGATCTGGAAAACAGAACCAAGCCATATGATTGTAAAAAAATAAATAAATACACGCACACACACAAACCTAAACAAGTGGGCATTGTGCCACTCTCTGTGAACACCCTTAAAATGCGAATGTCTCTAGAAAGAAAGAAAGAAAAAGGTATAATTTTCACATTTGCCTACGTGATGGTTTGTTTGCCTGTTTTCGTTGGAGGGGGATGTTTTGTTTTACAATTAATTTGGCCCCTTTTATTTCACATAAATGTCCAGCTCAAGTGTGCCACATCAGCAAATGGGTTCATTTATCTTGCAGGGAAAAGCCAAACATTTCATTTCTATTCAGAAAAGGTAGCATAAATAAAATGTACTGCTAATAGCAGAGGCCTTTAGCATGAAAAATAATAATTTTTATTGCTCTCTCTAGGACATTTGCTGTAAACATAGTTCATCTGTAATTATATTCAAAAAAAGTATTATAGTTACCTGCAAACCTAGAAGTCAAATAATATTTTACAATTCCTGCTGGATGGAGAAAAGATTGTGAGTGCTTTTTGCAGAAAGCAGGAAAGTCTTTCATATTAAACCCCTTTAGAACAATCCTTCAATTCAGAAGAATTAACTTTATTTCCTTAATACTGGTATTATATTCACTTAGTTGAAAGATTTTTCTAGGAAAGCAAGAAAATTTATGAAAATACAGCCACATGAAAAAACTATTCATCTAACAAACAAAATGTGAAAAACACAGATGAAGACTACAATATTAGACTGAGATAAATAATCTAGCTGGAGACCTATTAGATTCTCCACTTTCATGTCAATGAAGCATTTGGCCTACCCGATGTATTTTTGCCTACTCTGCCAGGCAGGGCTCAGGCTCTGCAGGAGAATACAGCCGTGGATCTCTGCAGGAAGAGAAGACCTTTTTTTCCAAGTAAAATGTTCCCTAACTCCGCAAGGGAGGTTGGCAGTAGATCTCAAACTCTGGCCTGTCTTTTTAATACCCCTACAATAGCTCAGTTGGATTGAGACCAGCTGTTGGTGCATTACCATTTGTAAATGCTTAAAGCAACTACTCCTTGTTTTCTTGGCAACATGTACTGTGAAGGGGAAAAAAAAAAAAGGCACTTTCATTCAGACCTTAAGAATTGCGAGATGCCAGCTTTGGCTTACACGAGCTATTGTTTGCACAGCTCCCTTCAACAAGTTTTCATTTAAAAAAAAAAATCCTGTAGAGATAAATTGAGCCCCTAAAATTCTGATTTACACCATCCACTTCATTGGAAACAAGATTCCTTTTTTTAATCCAAATATTTAAGGTCACAGGTCTTTCTGAGTTTCAATTTCCACAACACCCCCACAAAATCAACCAGATTGTCTTAGGAATGAAAATTATATCTTTCTTACTCACTGTTTAAAAATAACAGTGATTTTTTTCCCTGCTAATATAAGCATAAAAAAGGGATCTAAAATCAGAGTTTCAGCATATGGAAGCTTGGGTGCAGGGAAAAAGAAAACAAAAATTACACTGGCATTATACTTCAGCATTCGAGAAATACTGAGAGTCTCAAAATACCAGATTGATAGATTGGATTGCCACAGTAAAAAGAGCCTAGTCACAGTAGAGAACATACACCAACATTTTTTATGATTATTATTGTTGTTCTTGTTCAGATATAAACAGCTCCAGTGACCTTTCATTGCCTCATCCTTTCCAACCACCCCTACTAGAGCTTGGTGTACTGGAAGTGTCTAAGCATGAATGCAAGCATCTTGGTGGTTGCAGCTGCTAGTACAATAGGATTAATTTGCCATCCACCAACTCTAATGCCCTTCTGTTTCATCTTCTTTCCCCACCAGGGGCAGTGGTGACAGCATCTGTTCCACTGTTATTTTAGTGGCGCCTTTCGTGCTGTTATAGTTAAGGGTCTGTCAGCATTTCCACACATACACACACACACACATGCATTTCTTGAGGAAAGGAATGGCTCAAATCAGCCTCCAAAAAAACAAAATAAAACATTAAAAAAAAAAAAAAAACACCACAATGCATTGGGGCTGACAATGGTATGAGTACGTCAGAAGAATTTGTATGTTTGATTTTGATTTTGTGGCATTATTTGAGAAAAAGAAATGGAAATGAGGCTCCAAGTAACCTATTTTGCATTTAGCAATGGCAAATAATGGTGAAAGTTGATTTGGATTGTTCTACAATCACAGAGAAAGCAACAATGCCAAAAAGAAGACAAAGGGACAAAACCTAAACAAGGTAATTGTTCCCTACCGAGCACCTTCCTTTAGGTAATTAATTTAGATGACAGGATACTACTTTAAAAGCATCTCAAACAAGATTCCATGAACAGACCAGCAGTGGCAGGTGACCAACTCTAAATACGTAGCAGGACCCTCAGATCTCTAAGTTGAGAGTAGTAATCACAGAGAATGGTTTGGGTTGGAAGGACCTTAAAGACTCATTCCATCCCCCCTGCCATGAGCAGGGACACCTTCCACTAGACCAGGTCACTCAAGAGCTCCATCCAGCCTGGCCTTGAACACTTACAGGGATGGAGCATCCACACCTGCTCTGGGCAACCTGTGCCAGTGCCTCACCACTCTCACAAAGCAAAGATCTTCCTCCTACTATCTAAACTGAACCTACTGCCTTTCAGTTTGAATCTATTCCACCTTATCCTGTCACTACAGGCTGTTGTAAAAAGTCCTTCTCCATCGTTCTTGTAGGCTCCATCCAGGTATTGGAAGGCCACAGGTAGGTCACTCCAAAGCCTTCTCTTCTCCAGGCTGAACAATCCCAATTCTCTCAGCCTTTGCTCATAGGGGAGGTGCTCCATCACTCTAATCATCTTGGTTGCCTCCTCTGGATTGCTCCAACAGATCCATGTCTTTCTTGTGCTGAGAACCCCAGAGCTGGACTCAGTACTCCAGGTGGGGCCTCGCCAGAGTGGAGTAGAGGGACAAAACAAGAAGAAGTTGTTTTCTGCAGGCAGTCAAGAACACCAAGAGCTAAAGAACATCTCCCACTGCCAGGAGTGGTTTGAGAACCTAGAGGTGTGTGTTCCCAGCCTCTCTGATATGTATGGGATATAAAGGGTAACACTGCAGTCTGCAAGACATAGGCTCATCCCACTGGTGCTTTGTGGGAGCTGTTGCCCACACACATATCTGACTCATGAGCATTGCTTTCTATCCACAAAAGGAACAGAAAAAAAAGCAAGTGCTGGGGCAATCAGAGAACAGGTCAGCTTATTTCAGCAAAGAAAACCCTCTGGAAGATGATACACATGAGGTTAAGCTACTTAGGGTTGCTCCACAGACCCCACAGGTGATTTCTGTCCTCAACCTATGCCAGACTTTCCATATGAGATTACTGTACATGCACAAGTTTCCACCTAGTCCAAGAGAACTTTAAACTAGCAGAACTCACCTGAATTCTCAAAATAAACCCCCTTTTATTTGTCATGCTTCAGTACTGCGGGCAGGTATGACTTCTGCAACAGAAGGTAGGAATTGTGTTTTTCCAGAGATCTCTCCTTACAGAGAGAAATTAACAGAAAATGTAGAGGGTCAACACAGGTCTTTCCTAGCACCAGAGTACTTACTACAGGATTGATATAATCTGTAATGCCAGATGTGAGTCTCCCCCAGACCTACCCAACACTCTACCATTTTCAGTACTTTCTGCAAATCTCTCCAGCATTTTGAAGCAATAGTGATGATTTGTCTTGCAAAATACACAGACAAAATTGATTTAGAGTTAACTGGGGATTTTCAAACTCACAGCATACTAGGATGGCAAAAAACAACAGTTAAATAATTAATTTGGAGGCAAGGCTCTGAAGCAATGCAGATTTCTTTAGTCACAATCATAGTAAGCGCAGTCCAGTCTCTGTGATTCAAAATGGATTAATAACATGATGTTTCTTTTTCAAGTTACATTATCAAATACCTAGGTGTCCTTTGTCACATCACTTAACTGCTCTGCATTTCAGCATCCTCATCTGTGAAATGGAATAGGTAATTAAACACTCATGAATGCTTTGGGACTCTTTGGTGGAAAGAATTATTATGGTGTCTTATTACTGTGAGACAACATGCAATTGTCTCAGGTCTCTGTAACAGCTGAGCCTAAACAGAAAAGGAAGAAAAATCTAAAAGCTCCACTGAGATCTTCTGCCCTATCCTCTGCAAGATGCAACTACTACTTCAGTCCATTTTCAGTGCTGAAGAAATTGCTCTGAGGTTAATCACACCTTGAAAATATTATCATGTTGCAGGACTTTCAAAACTAGTCTGAGAAAGGACAAAAGTAATAACATGCCTCCCAGAAATATTGCATCCATGGATGGTAGAAATTATTTAAGAGATGACTGAAAAGTGGAAACTCAAAAGAAGAACACACAATATAAAGCCCTCCCCTTAGGAAAAAAAAAAATAAAAACAAAACCTAAAAGCAGCAGAAACCCACTCCCCACTGTACGGACAATTTCCCAAAAGCTCACAGCAATGAAAAACATTTTATATTGCCCCAAATCATGCCAGCAGAGAGATCTAGGTGGCTACTGCCCACCTCACAGCACTGAAAAAGCAAGTGCCCAGTGGGTATCATTCTCCATTATCTCTCAAACCTTTGCCACCAGCGTACAGATAGAAGCGACGGAAAAATGAAAAGTGTGTATATTGTAAGCGTTGGTTAAACAACCCCACAGTAATTCTTATTTGCTGGAGGTTTTAGAGAGCAGATGTAGGATTGGCAGGGGCTGGGAGCTGGCTATATTGTTCTAGCACATTTAGAGCCAACACGGAAAGAACACGGAAAGCTGCATTTTTTTGTGTGTATGCATGTGAATGTCTGTGTGTACGTGCATGTGTGTGTGTTTGCCTTTTGCCATCAGCTCGTCTAAGGTTTCTTGGATTCACACTGACACACAACAACAAAAAAAAAAAAAAAAAAAAGCTAGGTTGGTTCTCTTCCAAAAGAAATATGACTTATATCAGCTGCTGCATGAGAGTCTCTCAATTGCCACTACTAAGCTGCCTATTTTGCAGTAGCAAGTGGCCATGTGCTGTAACACACTGATTGCCTGCTTTGGTGGTATCGGTTGCTAGAATAAGGGCAAACAAATGGGGAACCAAATATAAAAAGCAGCCAGCAGCACTGAAGAAGCATTACAGCTGCCAGGCAATAACTTAGATAGTTACAGCTGCCATCACCTAGTTCACGCAAGCTTTTTAATATCTTTTGGCAGCGCTTGGTGTCACAGCACAAAAGGAAAGTTGGCACTTCCTAGCATACTTTGTTTGACATAACTGTGGGCAGAACCCAGCTGATACCTTCATCAATGTGTGTGTGTTTGCTCTTAAGGTACGTTTTAGCAGATCAAACATTGTTTTTCTCTTTCTGTTGCACACACCACGGTTAAATCATAGGTTGGGAACCACACCAGATAAATGGGAAAGAGCTCACTAAGCTGCAGCACACGGCCAGTCCCAGCAGCACCTCAGATAAGGAACACAAAAAACCCTGAAAAAAAAGAAAAATATAGTACAGCAGGAGGGGCTGTGGAGGGAGGTTTAAAAAAAATAAATATACTGCTTTGCCAAAATGTTTTCCTGCCTCGCCAGTAGCAGCAGCAGCCTCAGAGCCAGGCCAGATTCTCTTCTCCATTTACCGTACTTATAAAAAACCCACAAGCACAAACACATAGACCATCACATACACATAATTAAAGCATCGACATCCCTTACTGTGATTTACAATCCACACCACCAGAAGTACACAGGCGCTCCCAGGATTTCATCAATGTCTCATCTGGTGCTCTTGGCAAACCCAACCTCTTCCTTAGACACAGCGCATGCTGCACCTCGTTCTCTCAGAAATGGGGATGCAGAGCTCTTCCCCTTATGTGAACTAGGGAAGACAAGCACTAAATGTGTCAGCACTGGGTGATTTGCTGCTGTGGGACCTCATTTTGCAGGAGATTAATAAAAGACTAGCCTGCAGCATTGACTCTTGAGACTGCTTTCTATCATCACGAGCTTTCTATGTGGCCCACGAATTTGGGTTACAATATACTACAAGGAACTGGACAGCCTCTACATAATGATATTATTTTACAGCTCTTGAAAACAAATATATAGAGGGAAAAGATTCTGCCCCCAGGAGCTTCCATTGGCCATGAACAAAACAAGCCCGTAAGCCTCTACCTGAAATCAGCCCAGGGTTCTAATAATGTATTGAGTTAGTTTATTTGTAAATCATCCCATTAAATAAATGCACTTATCTTTTAGGCCTCTGGCACTTGAACGCCGTCAAAAAGCTACAGTATTGAAACAAACAGCTTCACAAGAATTTTCAGATGTAACACCACCATGAAGAGTAGCAACTAAGCTGACAGGAGGAAAAAAAGGAGAGAGCAAATATCAAATATCAATATCTCTATTTGAAAATTAGGAAACTAAAGCACATGAATGTGAGATGGTTGGTCCAAGCCTGACCCAGACAAGAAGGACAGAAGGTTGGTCATCCTGAGTTCACATTCAACACCTCGTGCCCACAAGCCAAGTGCACCCCTGAACAACAATGTGAAGTGGGCTTCCCTTCAGGAAGAAGTGGAGTCCTGCCCCACTCTGTCTGCAGCTCCATGGAAGCTGAGGGCTTTTGCTGAGTCCAACCTCAGAAACACCAAAGGAACATTAAGGAGCTGCTTGCATGTTTTCCTAACGTGTAGTATCTATAGTGGAAATTCTTCGGGTAAGCCAGACACTGACAATAAAATGTGAAGGCGTGTCAAGAATCTCACTAATCTGAATTGTTTATTTGGAGCTGATCTAGGAGCAAACTGTTTTAATGGTAACATATAGGACAAGTGAACTGACTGTGGTTGGGAATGGGCAAAATGCATATGGTGGCGCATGGGAAGGACAAGAAGTTTTTCTTTGGGACCCCAGGTGATCCTTTTGCGGTAGCAGAAAAGGAAAGCTGATCCATAAAACATGCACATGTCCCCCCAGAATGGTCCAGGCTATGAATATATTTTGGAAGCTCCTAATACACTGCGTAAAGAAACAATCATTCATGTACACGCACACAAAAGGACAGTCCCAGATTTACAGCCACCCACCAAGGTAGAACAGGTGGCTGTAATGTAGTAAAAATGTATTGCAAGGAACTTGTCATGAATTTTAAAAACAAAGACGCCTACAGACATAATAAAATTGATGTGACATTCAGTTAAAGCTAAAGCTTTCACCTATCTGAATAAAATGACAATGCAGGGGAATTCAAGGAAAGGGAGCTTTCTCATCAGCCCTCACAGAACAAAGTGTTTCACTCCGTTTGTGCAAATAATGTCATTGATCTCATCAATGGCATGGCTTACACCTGCTACACGGGTAGGAAATCAGGACCCAACAAAAGACACCCAACAAAATCACACCAGACAATTGCTGTGGAAAAGAAATGCCTCAAGGTCCTGGCAAAGAAAGCCAAGTCCTTTCCTTCCTCTACCACAGGATATTGCATCTTCTTCTCCTTGATTATTTTAAACATTTCAGGGGACCTAATTCCAACAGTTAGCCAAGAATTGCTTCCTCTTTTCCTTGATTGTGGTTTTAGTGGCAGCACATGAATTTGGAAATACTAGAAATCCAAGTCACTTCTCAATAGCTTGGGCACAATAAACTGACAGAGAGACCCCTGAGAATCCCAAAAACTAAAGTGGAAAAAGAGAGAAAACCTGATCTAAATTTTGCAGGCAAGGTATATCCCTCTCTATTAAGATGCGGATCAACAAGTTGTCAGTCTGATAGCAGGTTATCATACCTTTGGACTGGGGGAAAAACAGAGTCAGGTGCCACAGGATAGAGAACAGAAAGAGACTGGGATAAAGAATGAAACAAGGATAACCAATTATGATAAACTTGTTTCCTTGGTAACTATATTTATAACTCTAATGATGTTGCTATTCTTTTAATAATGAACAGAAAGGTTTGGTACAAAGTTATATAATTCAGGCATATAAACCAGCATCTGTTCCATTGGTAAAGCTGCATCCATGCCTTAGCACAAGACAAGAAACATCAAAAGATTTGTAAACGCTTTTAAACAGCTTTCAAATGTTTATAAACTTTCTCCTGTGGACAGGTGAGCTCATAGTGCTGAATTTCTATCCCTACATCTGGGCCTGCCTGTATGCAATTACCTCATGATCTTTGTGCTGGGAATAACACTCCAGTTTGAGAGACAACAGGCATAGGGGTGAATGAGAGAAAAAAGGAAAAAAAAAAAAAAAAAAAAGATAAAACCTTGGGAATATTTGAGTTGCTGAGCAGCTAAGTGCATGTGACCTTTACCAAATGTTGCCATAATTGTACATGGCATCCTGACTGCTCCCAAATATTATGTTGGTAAACAGCCCCTTCCTTTTGAAAATGTACTTGAATTTCCACTACTCTCATCTGAAAATGAGGTCTACTGATACCTCTCACTGCCATTTTAACCATTTTGAGAAGTCCATTGAAATTCCAGTATAAATTACACCTGTCCCAGAAAGGGTCCCCACAAGGAGTAACTTTAAAGAAGTAACTGGGGGCAGCACCTAAATGAAAGGTGTGGGCACCCTGTTGTTATGAATCTCTAATCCTGACAGCAGATCAGGTACAGGAACTGGCTTCCCCACTCCACATGTTCCTGGCTTTTCCCACAGTGATTTCCGGGGCTGGAGGACAAGCACAGTTGATGCTCAGTTTGCACTTGGAAAGGAATAATCCTCCTAATGAACTACCCTGTGAGATGAGGGCTGCCTATGTGCCTGTGTGTGTGAAATTCAAGCCTTCCTTGCCTGACTGAAGCAGGCTTTTCAGTTGATGCTCAGCACTAACTAATGGAAGCACTACAGCTCTAGCATTATAATGCTCACAAATTTTACCCTCTGCTGTCTCTTTAGGCCATTGCCCCAAAGGCTTTCATGTTCCTAAAGCTGTCATTTAAAACATTTGTGAATCAGGATGTGTGGACAATAGAAGAAGCTGGTAGAGCCAGGGAGTGCAGATGTGAAATAATTTAATCAACAGCAATTTTTCCATTTACTTCAATGGGCTTTGGATCACCCGCCTCATGAGTGGAACATGTATTGAGGAGGAAGCAACCCGAGCCAGATAAAGAGCCAAGATACCAAAGTAACAGAGTTCCACCAAACAAGAGAGTCCACAGCAGCTGCAGCTTGAGATGGATGATGTAAACACGGATCTAGACTCAGCTAGCAGACTGGGAAAAGGACTGAAGAGAAAACAGAAAATAAGCAAGGATTTAGCCATCAAAGAACAGAGCTGTATGAGGTACTACTAAGAATTTTTTTATGGTAGGAAACGCTACATAAAGTACGAGAAATATTCAAAGAGCTTTGCAGAATTTATCTGATGAGGAAACGAAGGCACAAAGAAACAAAGTGAAAACCCCAGAATACAGATTTTTTTTGCCAAATCAGAAAAAAAAAAAAAAAGCCTGAAGCTTTTTATTCCCTATATGACATAAGTATCAGGCTATGATACTCATTGTAATAGTTATATCACACCGTGGTGCTGAGATCATTGTGTGCTAGTTGACAATGCTTGCCCTAATTGGTGCCATTAAGTAATGAAATAATAATTGTATCTCAGATCATTGGCACTTCAGAAATGGCCATTTCCAAGCACAAACGGTGGTGTGTCCCTGTGCACAGTTCAGTGCTGAAATGGTTAACACCATGTATTATGTGTCAGTAATGAAAACTAGCACTCAAGCAAGGAAATTCAAAGCTAAGGCTGACACATCATCGTTAACGCAGCCCTTTGTGCTTAGCTACCACAGGAGTCTTGGAGCAGCACATGGTGTTGTACCCCACACAATATGTGCTACTACAATACCGCATTCACAACACAATGAATTGAGGTCAAGTGAGTGACCTTAAAAAGAGCTTTCTTTTATTTCTTTAAAGAAACACCCCATGATATGTAGGAGCCCATTAAACAAAGCTGCAAGAAGATACAGTAAACTTTAATTAGCAGTGAAGGCAATAACCTCACTTTATACTTCATAATTTCTCCCACCATGTTTTATTACATGGAACAGTCATTTTAGTACCTTTGTACCTAAGGCAGCATCCATGTGGTGTGGAAAGGGATGTGTTGTTGGATATTTATTGTAATGGGGCTTCATGTGGTTGGAGGTCAAAGTGTAGGACTTTCATTTGTACATCACTGCTCTACTATCTGCTCATGTCTCTGGGTAACCTGATGTTCAAACCTTTTGTAAGGCAATTGCTGAGGAGGTTGTTCTTATTGTTACAAGAACTTGGAGAAAGGATGCTGGGCCCTGGCTTCGGCACAAGCCCACTGTGTCACATAGGGTACTCCGCCAAATTTTTTTTTCTCACACTCATCTCAGAATCTTCCATTTTAGGGGACTCAGGTGCAGCTCCCAGGGTCTGGTCCCAGAAAGCCTTGGAATCAGTATTTCCTATTGGCTTCTCAGGACCATTCAGAACCAAGTTTGGAAAAATCACAAATTCATCTCCTCACAAATTACCTACAATTTTGAAATGTTGCCTTTTTCCTCTCTGCCTATCAAAACATCCCACATCAAGTTGGAATTATATTTTCCTAGCAGCTTGCAGTCTGAAAGGGATACTGTTAAACTTTTCTTTGTCCTTTTTAAGTCAACTGTTTATCTGATAATGGGGCACAATAACTTAACTCCTTGGGGAGATAAGGACGCTTTCTGCAGTTTACTGGTAGAAAACTCAGTGCTTCTGGACCAGACCCACAACAGTGCTTGGAAAGCTATAACCTGCCTGCATGGCAAAGATATAAGCCTCACAACACCCAGAAGTCTTTTGGCACATCAATCAATTGCATTACATTTTGCCCTGTTTCCACAATTTTGTTTCTATGCATGGCTAGAAAATGCTGTCTTGAAAAGGCCCAGTCACTCAATGGAGATCAAGTACTTTTGCCCCAGCAGGCATCCACACACTTCCATCTACCTCAGAAGATCAGCCTGGTCTTACAGGTACCTTTGGAACATCTTCTGGAAGGGCCTTCCATACAAAACCATCTCCATAGAACTCTCCATTTCCTTTACACCAGGGCTACAGGAGAAAGGCACACCTAGCAGTAATGGCAGCACTGGATTTCTATTACTTGTTTCA